TCTGCCCATTCTCTAATTCCATTTGCCAGGTAGAGGATGCTTCCCCAACCGGGACAAACCTCTACGACGCCAAGCTGGCTTCAATGCCAAAATGCCAGTGTCTTAATGGAGTGACTAGCATTGGTTAGCGAGTTACCAAAGTAAATACAGTGTGGCTGCAATGTGTGGAGAGCAGAAGAACCGCCTGATGGAGGTTCTATCTGCTCTACTTTATTAATCAATTCTTCTGCATAGAGTCTATGCCAAAGAATTTGAATGACAGGTAGGAGAAAAAAGTAGTTGATGGTGCAGGTTTTTTTTTTCCCCCAGTTGATATGAATAAGCAGTTTTGCCGCTGTAAGTTGGTGATTAAGTAGGAGGAGGGAAGGTTTAGCAATCGGAAAGGGATATAGGAGGAATAGAAAAGTAGAGTACTTGAGTTATAATACCAACTAGAGATTCTATTGTAATCGTTTTCGTGTGTGCTGTTTCAGATAGAGGAGTGAAATAAGTTCGAAAATATGCATTTTCAGTCCTCTTTGGTTAGGGAGAGAGAATGAAGACAAGAGCTTCATGTCTTTTCTTATGTGCCAACATGTAGCAGACATGTCGACCAGGGAAGGATGCGTAGACTCCACACATGACAGGTCCTCCTTAAATTCCAAAGCACTAAATAATATGGATACATATAACAAAAAAATATGTGTGTGTGTGTAATAAAATTAAAACTGAATACTTTGTGACTTAATTTTAATTCAAGTTATTTCACCATGCATTTGAAAAGTGTATGATCTGCCAATAGCCAAAAACCGTTCTATTTGAATAGCTGGCCATCTCTACACATGGTCTCTCTCAGATTTAGTGATTTATTTCTTCATTAACATTATAAGTAATAGAGACAAAACTTTTTTTGACTCTTGATCTAGTCATTTTGTCAATACACTGTATAATATGTGGTTAAAGGTCTTTGCACAATACAGAACTTTAATAGGAATTGTTTTTGATAACATTCTTTAGCAACTTTAGAGAATGAAAATTGATTTCAAATGAATAAATTGAACCATTTAACAAAAAGTAACTCACAGATGAAAGTTTGATTGTAATAGAGTAATAGTATATTATTGACTAGTGAAAAGCTAAATTACCCAAATCTTTACATTCTTAGTAAAAAAATAAAAAAATAAAGTTTAAGTACTAATGTAATAGAACATTAAATTGCTAATTACTTCCAGAATTACCTACTGACAGAGTAGTTTGTAATGTGATCTTACAGTTGTGCAATATTAATAACATATATATACATTGTAATTCTGAAAAACATACAATGGTTAATTATTTCCAGAGTTTATATTATTTGCAAAGAACGAAGCATATAAGGCTCTTAGCTACCTGGTTTTCATCTTTAAAATGCAGATCCTTTGATGGGCATCAGATGCTGTTTTAAGTCATGTTCCTTGGAACAAAATATGCCTGTAACACAAAACGTAGTATTAACCACAATTTTGGTTCTTGTCCTCAGATCACTACACAAATAATAGTAACATAATGTTCTATGTCTTGCTGTTGAATAGATTTACAAGCATATTTCCATAATAGAACTTATTAATTCCGCTGTAAAGTGCACCCCAATGCTGAACACAGTACGTTATCTGCTAAACAGTGAATTTTATAACATGACCGGAGGCTTCATATTTGTTTACGTCTCTAGAACTCCACAGCAGCACATTAACATAGAGAAAAACAACCAATCAGAAGAAAATAAGGTACTATAAAACTCTCCTCCCCACACATAAGTCCCTCTTTCTTTGCTGCTCCACATCAGTACAGGTCAGAGTACCACTGCCTCCTGCTCTTAGTGGGTGGCTGTGAGATTTTATTGCTTATTTACAGTTTTTTATTTTTGGTTTTATTGAGGACTGTGTTGTACTGCACTCAGGGGTTTTGATTCCCCCGACCTCCGGGACCGTGGAGTACATCTCCAGCGGTCCCGTGTGTTTTTTACCGGTCGCGGGGGTACTCGCGACCTGACCTGAGTACCCGGTGGCCGGATCCTTTTCTCCCACATGGCCATGTTGCCGCGGCCAGCTCCTTCAGTGGACTGCGTGCGTCCGCCGGGTGGAGGAGTGTGCTCACAGCCCCTCCCCAGCCGGCCGAGGTCTGATTACCGCAATTCTGTAGGCAGAGCCTCTCCCTTCATAGAGCAAACCTAAACTAGTGTTTTGTATTAGTATAGTCTTGAACTGTGCTTCTGTTGAGTGCCTTCATTTATGTAAAACACTCTCTTTTGCAGGCTGGGAGTCAGACTCTCCTCCCAGTATCACTGGACCTAGAGGCAGCCTAAAAAGGTCCTCTCAGCCTGCTTCTGGGTGTGTGAGTGTCTGCTGGACACCATCAGCTTCCTTACATGGTTTACCCTAACACTCTCCATACTGTAGTGGAGTGTTTATTATGTGCTATATAATCTGGGCTACACTGGGACCTCTGCAGCTTGAATATACCTATAAATGGACTGCCAGTTATCTGTTAAAGTTTATACACTCATTATTACACTGTCTAGAAGACTTTGGTGTCTTGGGGTCTTTTGTCACCAGGATGCCCTGAGGATCTGAAAATATTTCTGGTGGCTCTACTCGCACACATTGGTCTGTTACTGCTGCCATATACAGCTCCCGTGTTTGGCCTGCTCTGTCTGTGCCCCCTCTGTTTGGCCTGCCCTGTCTGTGCCAAGCCCCCCTTTGATTGGACACAGGCCCGGGGGAATACTACTGGGATGACCCCCCCGTACCCACTGTTGACACTAAGATAGATGTGTATCCAGGTAAGCACTGCTGCTATACTATCAGGGGTGACACCAGTCATTTCTGTCCCTAGGGTCACGCTACGTTTAAGACGCCAGACCCCTGTGGATTTAGTTCTGTTGTTTCTTTGTTTCGTGTCTTCTGATTTTTCCTATCGCTCGGGACGTCGAGAGGCCTGACTTGGACTCCTCCGACTTCCCGGGCTCTCGTGGATCGCTGTGAACGTCTCCAGCGTTTCCTCAGGCTACCGGCGGCCATCCTGGATTCAGCGCACTTGTGCGCGATCCAGGCGGCCGTTTGTAGATTCCGTATTTTTTTCTAACCATTGCAGTTTTTCATCCTGTCTCCGATTATTAGACCCATGGGCACGGCCATAGGCTGAATTGTTACTCCAACTATTTTCAGTATTGTTTATTCCCAGTTTGAGTCCACCTCTCATATGACTGATACAGAGAGTGATTTCGTGGTTAGGGGGGAACCACTCTCAGGACCTCAGCCCAACTCTGCTATTATTACGAGGTGAGCACCTCGCAGACAGTCATTCTTCTTCCCCTTCCATAACCTCAGCCCGAGGCTGAGGCTAATTTACATGATTAGAGGGTGACCCCCTCTCAGGTACTGAACCTGACACTAAATTTATTATTAGAGGGCACGACCCTCCCTCAACCTCAGAAAAATCAAAGGTAATAGGGCGCGCCTTTAATGGAAATAAATAAAAGTATAGCTAAAATAATGTGTGTGTGTGTGTGTGTGTGTATGTATATATATATATATATATATATATATATATATATATATATATATATAAATAAAATATAAATATAAGATGAAATAAAGTCCAAAATATAAATATTCAATTGAAGTAAAAAAGTCCAAACATATAGTCCACAGATAAATGAAGAGTGTTCTTTGTAGCGTAGTATAGTCTTTTCCCAGGAGATGACTTGTATTTTTCAATGAGCCATATGTAGGGAAAAATAAAAAGACAACCAATGGTACAGTATGTTGATATAGAGGAAAATATGTGCAAATAAATTGGAATTACTCACAATTTACAGAGCTAAAATCCAGCTCTGGTATGGAATGCGTGGAGTGGAATGATCCCCACTCAAGGATGTATGGAGAAGTAACTTGTAGAGTAAGATAAAAAGAATATAGTGCTGACTGTATAATATAAGTTGAAAAAGAGGTAGGAAATGTACTTACAAAGTATTGAGCATTCTTCTCTGCTCAATTTTTAGCGCATGGGTGGTATGATCCCCACCTAAGGATTTGCCGTAAATCCGTATTAGCTCAGGTTGGTCAGGTATAAAATAAAGTTAAAAGTAAAATTAGGAATGTGGCAGAAAAAAGTTTGAGGCCAAAATTCCTTTATTATGAAAATATAAAATTATTAAAACAAATTCTAAACGTGTTTCACCTACAATAGGCTTCTTCCAGTAGAATAATAGTGAAAACAGTAACCTAACAGTGCTTTTTATATGGTATACTCCGTGTATTGGAATTTGAATATTCCCACCAAAATGACATCATCACATATTTCAATTTTGAGTACATAATAAAATAACATAATAATAACATAAGGAGCTTGTGTACATATTTACAAGGTCATTACATATAAAATAATATTAAAACGAGGTGTGAGAGGTTAAATAAATAAAATGAAACATAGATCACGTGACGCGCGGAAATGAAGGACTTCCGCGTCACGTGGGTGTAATGGAACGCATGCGTTCCATAGCAATGGAACGCATGCGTCCGGAGGCAGAATGCTGACCAGGTGCAGTGTTGAAGGCTACACGTCACCAGAGGGGAGGGACCCTCTGGCAATAGTGAGTCAGGCTGTCAGCATGTCGTCTGATTCATACTGACGAACAGACGATATGCTGTGTATCATAAACAGCCAAATGAGGAAGAATGTAAAAAAAGATAATAAATACCTCTGGAACTAATATATTATAGACACAGAGTAAATAACATATATGAACTAAAAAATAATAAATTATATAAGAGTAAAGAGTTCCAAATATAAGATTATAAAAACATAATGTAGATTGTATAAAATACATAAAAATATATGCTTAAAAATTATACAAAAGAATACATAAAAATACATATAAAATACATAAAGGAATGTTAACAAGGAAAAAGAGAAAGACAGCGCTAGATAACTTATAGGCAGCAACCTTTTAAAGGGGATCCCTCAAACCCTTTAATTTAGATAAAATGAGAAAAAGAAGAAAAAAGGCTGCGCACTCAGATAAAATTGGAATAAAATAAAACTTTTTTATTTTATTCCAATTTTATCTGAGTGCGCAGCCTTTTTTCTTCTTTTTCTCATTTTACATAAAGGAATGTGTAGGGGTTCCATAAAAGTTATAAAAAAGAGAGAGGCAGCAGAAAAAAGGGGGGTGGATAAAAAAAAGTTTTTATTTTTTATTTTACTTGTATTATAGAAAATTAAATAAGTCAAAGTCTACATTGAGACCTTGAGAGGTAAGAGTTTTTATATTGAATGTCCATTCCATTTCCTTACTACCTAAAATCTTTTTTATATCTCCACCTCTCCAAGGGATATTGCAACTATCTATACCTATGCATTTCAACAATTTAGGATTTTTACCATGTATTAGGAAGTGCTTAGATACCGAGTGGTTCTCGTATCCCTTTCGAATATTTCGGCAGTGTTCTGCCAATCTGATTTTTAGCTCTCTGGTTGTAGTATATTGAAGTCCACATGGGCATTCTAATAGATATATTACATTTTTAGAGCTGCAGTGAATAACATTTTTTATAAAATATGTTCTTTTAGTAATAGATGATTTGAAAGAGGTAGTTTTTGATTTAATGCTCTCGTCCGTATGTTTACATACTATGCATTTGTTGCATTTAGAAAAAACTTTGGGCTTGTTAAGAAAAAAGGGAGGACATAGAGGAGAGTTAGTTTTATTTTGTTTTGTATAGTTCTTTGTGAGGATGGATTTGAAGCTAGGTGCCCCCCCTAAATATAACGTGTGGTTTTTCGGGGATGATCCCAGCTAGAATCTCATCCTGTTTTAATATATGCCAATGTTTATTAATAATCTTCTTCATAACATTATTTTTGTTATTGAAGTCGAAGATAATTGGCAATGACGGAACATTCTTAGAGATCCAATCTGTCTTTTTCCCTAACTTTATTGATAGCTTGATTTAAGTTGTTGGTAGGATAGTTTTTTTTGTGAGACTTTGCATAGAAGCATACGGGATTGGTCTTCAAAATCTTGGGTAAGAGAGCAATTCCTACGCAAACGGGGGAAATGACTTTTGGGTATTCCATGTAACCATGGTTTGTGGTGGCAACTAGACATATCAATAACATTGTTTGTGCAGACTTTTTAAAAAAAAGTTTTAGTGTGAACCTCATTGTTTTGGATAAAAATTTCCAGATCTAAGAAGTGTATAGCAGATTGGCTATATTCATGCGTTAAAACTATACCATTATTGTTTCGGTTTAAAAAGGATAAAAACTGGTTAAGAGAACTCTGTGCCTTCCAAAATAAAAAAAACATGTCATCGATATATCTAAAATATGTGGTTTGTCTTCCAGTCATGCTCCCCAAGAATGGCTGTGGTTTCTCACTCTGCCATAAAAAGGTTGGCATAGCTGGGCGCAAACCTGGTCCCCATCGCTGTACCTTGTTTCTGTAGATAAAAAGAATCTAAAAACCAAAAGTAGTTATTTTTAAAAATAATATTAATACCTTCTATTATAAAACTAACCTGTTGGTCTGGGATTCTTTTCTCTGCCCTTAGAATTTTTTCTACGGCAGAGCAGCCTTTGTAATGAGGGATAATTGTATACAGTGATTTGGATTAGAAAATAAGTATCTTTCCAAATAAAATTGTTTAAAAAACGGAGTAGGGTCATGGAATCTTTTAAGTACGATTTCATACATTTAACAGAAGGTTGTAGGGGAATATCTAAGTATTCGGATAAATTTGATAAAATGGAATTTATCCCTGATACGATAGGCCTACCAGGAGGATTTTTATCATCTTTGTGGATTTTTGGTAAAAAGTAAATGACCGGAATTTTTGGATAAGAAACATTTAAAAATTCATATTCTTGTTTGTTTAAAATCTTATGGTCCCGGCCTTTATTTAAAAAAGAAGTTAAAATTTGTTGAATTTTTGAAGTCGGATCTCGTGGTAATTTTTCGGAAACCGTATAATCTTTGAGTTGTCTCATGGCTTCTTCCTCGTACATTTATTTAGATAATATTACAATGCCCCCACCTTTATCGGCTGATTTAATGACAAAACTCTCATCTTTTTGTAATTGCAAAAGTGCCTTTACGTTCTAATTGTGAAAGGTTGTCTTGATTATATTTATCTTTTTTAATTTTTTCAAGATCTTTACTGACTAATTTTTCAAAGACCTCTAGGGTGCCTGTTTTAAAACTTGATGGGAAGAAGGTTGAGTTCTTTTTTAGAGAGGTAGATATTACGTTTGGACAGTCGTCTGGTGGGGTAACTAGGGATACATGAGTAATTGTTTGGGAGTTTTTGCTAGCAAAGAATCTTTTAAGGGTAGCCTTCCTTACAAATTTATTTATATCTATAAAAGCTTTAAATGGCTTGTACAGATTTGTAGGGGCAAACTTAAGTCCTTTGCTGAGGACTGATATTTGTGTGGCTGTTAAGGCTTTTTGTGATAAATTAAAAATGCAGAGTTCTCTTTCATTTGTAGGAGTTATTGTCGGTCTAGCCTTTCTCTTTTGAGTTCTTCTCCCACTTCTCCTTCCTCTAGACTTAGGTGTCTTTTCCTTGTTTTTATAGGATGTGGTGTTTGTGTGTGGGTGTTAGTTTGAGTACATAATTCTAAAAAATAATCATCGTTTTCAGATTGAGTCTACGGATAATATTTGGTATCTATTATTGTGAGTGTAACTGATAGGTGACTTAGTGCTTTCAAGGTGTCTATGTGCATATCTGGGTCTTTGGGCTTTGGGTCTTGTAGCCCTATCATTTTTATATACCACTAGGGAATATGTTGGGTTATCATAATGTTTGTGATAGTTGGGAGGTGCAAGGAAAATAATTTTGGTATGTATGTGCTGGGTAAGAGTGTCGTGACTGGGTTTGATAGTTGGGACGGCTACTGTGTGGTTTGTGTTGATATTGATTCTGTGATACTGTGGAGGAATATAGTCTATCCTTCCTTGGGGGGTAGTTGGAATGTGATTTGTGTATATAACTATTTTGATACGTGTTGGAAGATTGATAGGTGTTAGTGTTCAAATTGTTTCTTTTGGTATGGTGGAAAGAACGAATTTGGTTGTTGGAGTAATCGTGTTTGTCTCTAATGTATGTGTTTGGCCCTATCTCCTTTGATTTTTCTGTTCTGTATTCAACCATAGGGGATGGGAGGGTACCCCCTTTATAGGTGTGCTGCCTTTTAATTACTGTACCAATTTTTTGTGGCATTTCTAGCGCTGATCCTATTTTGACTATTCTCCCTCAACCTCAGCCCGAGGCTGATATTGATACAAATTGCATGTTTTGAGTGTGACCCACTCTCATATAAAGAGCCAGACACTTATATAGGCACTGATTTTATTATTAGCGGGTACGGCCCTCTCATACGGTCAGCCTGATGCTGGCATGGGTACCGTTTACGTCATTAGAGAGTGCGGCTCTCTCACACTCAACCCGCTACTGAGCTCCCCTCATGTGCTCAGCCCAAGATGATAATTTATACTGTTCCCATGAGTTTACCGGTTGCGTGACCGTTTATTTCAGTACTGGGTTCTGCTACCCTTCTTGGAGGGTGAACCCGTCTCTTGACACTGCCCAGCAGGGTTATTTATCCTGCTACCGTCGACCTTTGTTCATCTTACAGGCTTATGCTAGTACAGGGCACCGATGTCTTCACAGAGGAGCGTCCCTCCTACATTCAACTCTATATGGAGGTCTGTGCTACATAACGTGTTTGCCGCTGATGCTACCGCTCTTGCAGCAAGGGTTGTGGCTATTTCACCGGAAGGTCTAGGAGATGCTGCTTCGTAGCCATTGGGTAAGAGGAGAGAACCCCTCCATTAGATCGAACGACTGTGCTACTATTTTCATATAGAGGTTGTGACGAGACCAATCTCGCCACATTGCATTGGAGAAGCCTGGTTGCCTGCCTGTTGCCTCTGGACTATGGCCCCATGTTAAAAAGCCTTCTTTTCCCCTGCAGAAAAGGCTTGTTCATGCCTTTCTGCCCGGTGTTCGGTAGATTCAATCTACCGAACAAACAACCGATTGACTGGACCACCTGTATTGGGAGTGTGTCTGCAATTTACCTCCCAGAAGCTGCGGTTAACCGCAGCTTAATTGACAAATGCTGGGTGGCCATTGTTCGTTTGCCGAACACGTGGCGGCGGCCATTTTAAAGTCCCGAGCGGCCAGCGGTGTTCAGCGCCCAAACTATGGAACTGGAAACGGACACTTATTTGCACGAACATCGCTGAGCCATCAGCCTCCTTCTGCATTCGGTCATTTAACCGGATGCCTGTTCATTCAGTAGTTTAAACCGTATTAACAGCATTACCCCAGATAGCCATCCCGTGGAGTCTATTCGTATGGAGAACAGACTTTGTGAACACTTTAACTCCACGGCGATTGGACTGTGTGCATAGGATCTGAGCGCTATTCGGTACTTTTGTGCGCTCAGATCCCAGCTATCTGAGGATGGGTTACATGTATATATTTTATGTGACAAATGTAACATTATGTATTTTATTGTATTTTAGTGTTTTATTGTAACCATGTGGTTAATGGAGTTTTGCCTCTGTCCTTGGAGATAATTGGATTACTTCCCAATTATCTCCAGGATAGAGGGGAGGGATTGTAATGTACTGTGGGAGTGTTTTAACCCTGTATGCCTGTGATTGGTCATTTTACCATTTGTGTCCCAGTCTTCCATCTGGTCCCCTAGGGGAGTGTCCACCAGGTGGAAGACCTACATAAATACTGGGCAGGTAGCCCACATTAAACCAGACCACTGCTTGACCCTCAACACGAAGCTCTGTCTCGTTCTTGGGGGGATTTACTGTATGCTGATAGAGACTGATTGCTAGGAGTGTAAGCCACTTGGGTGCTTTTCCTATTCGTCTGCTAGCAGCTATTCGTGAGGTTCCAGTTCAGGAGTTTGGAATGCTATTTTGTATGCAGTTCGGGAGTTTGGAGCATTCCCTTACATGCGGTTCGGGAGTTTGGTGTTCTGCAGTAGCTGTGCCTGTGTCTCTGGAAGGGAAAATCTACTAAACGGCGGTTTAACCCTTTTATGCCCTGGGTGCCGTTACAGAGGTGCTACCT